CCCTTGAAATTGGGGGGGGGGGGGTCTTTGTGACTGGCTCAACAAATCGAATGTGGTAGAAGTAACTGAGTTTCTTCCCAGTGGGTCATAAAAGGCACTAGAATTGGGAATTAAGAGGGGAACTTCCCACGCTGGGCACAGGAAAGCCCACAGCCCGGCCTCTCTGCTCCTCTGTCATTGGGCTGAAGTTTGTCGAGGTCCTGTCTGTCACTCTATCGGCCTGGGTGCTCCTAAGGGCGGGGCTGAGAGGACTCGGCCGTTCTGGGGCCATTTGCTTCCTGAGCTCAGCCTGCCAGGGTGGGGACCCGTCCTTTGCTGGGAGTCAAGAAACCAGCGTTCCAACCTGGCTCAGCCTGCCTGGCCACGCGACCCTCAGCAAGCCTTGTTTCCTCTAGTGCCTCAGTTTCCCTCTGTAAAATGAGCGTAGAGCAGGTGACTCCCATGGGCCCTTTCAGCCTTGGAGAGTGAGGGAGGACAGTGTGCAGAGTGAGGACCTCGTGGGAGCACAGATGTCAGTCTTCTGGTGGTAGTTGGAGGGTGTCCCAGGCTGGGGGCCATTTGCAGGGGGTGAGGGATTCCCACAGCGGCGAACTTTGGACCTTAGACCTGCCCTGGCCAGCATGCCACACGGCCCAGGCCAGGCCTCCACCCCCATGGGTGCTCACGCCCGCTCAAGGTGCCTTGGTGACCCACGACCCAGCAGAGGCCCCTGGCAGCCGCGCCACCCCAGTGCTGGTCAGAACCCTGGGGCCTTTCTCCTACCAGGCTGTCCATCCACCGCCATGAAACCACAGCTGCCGCCAGCCTGTCACCATCAAGTCCTACGGCAGTGAAAATACTCCCCCTTCCAAAAGAACAATATTTACTGTGTTCTGATTACAGAGGTGTTGGTTGAGAAGAATTTAGAAAATCTAGAATTTGGAAACCACAGTGCTTGGAATGCTGCGTGGGACGTAGGAGACAATTGACAAAAGAGTGAATGACCATAGAAAACAGTACAGGTTAAGGGCGTGGACTCTGGGCCCGCATGGCCTGGGTGTGAATGCTGACTCGCCCACTGAGTACCTTGGCACGGTGTGACTTGGTTTCCCCATCTGCGGTGGGGCTCAGCCAAGGGGGAGCATGACAGGTGGTCAGAGGGTTCTGGCCGTAGCCGTGTCACCGCTGAACCCCTCACTGGTCTCCAGCCCTTACTGGGCTTGGACACCCTGACTCCGTTTTTGCTCTTCAAGCTTAAGGATGCTGGTTCCTGAGGCCATGACATTCTTCGCTGGTTTCCTTAAGCCTTTCCCCCAGCTCTATAAATAGCCCCTTTATTTGAATCCTAAGAACCATCTGAGCTGGATTCTGGTTTCCTGCCTGGGCCCTGATTGGCACAATTAGCACACTGATTGATCTTTTGTAGCAAATGCTTTCCTCCTGTGGAGAGCTCTGAATTCTTTCCCTAAGTCTGTGGGTCTTGTGCAGGGACAGTGGACTGGGAGAGCACTAAAAATACACAGCAACTCACGCTCAGCCACCAAGAGAGTCTCTGGGTGACTCTGAAGAAGCCTCTGTGGAGCGGTGACATCCTGCAGGATCTGGAAGGTCACATGGAGGTTTTGAGGAGGAGGGAGCAGCTTGTGCCGAAACACAGAGCCACGAAATGGGAAGGACTGGCAGCAAGGAAGCCTGGGTCCCTGTCTGGGCTCCTCTCCTGATGGGCTGTGTGACGCCGGGCAAACCACGCTGCTCTCTGATCCTCACTTTCCCTGCAAGTGCAGATGAAGGTGCTGGACCAGGACAGCATTTCTCAAATCCTCCAGGGCTCTTGTTTATTTATTTTTAAATGTACTTTTATTGAAATATAATTGACCTATAAGTGTAAGGTGTACAAGGTGTTGAATTGATATTTTTATATATTGTAATATAATGGCCACTGTAGCAGACACCGCTATCCTGTCACACAATTATCTTTGTGTGTGTGTGTGTATATGTGTGTGTGTGTGTGTGGTGGGAACAATTAAAATCTAGTCTCTTTCAACTTTGAAGTCTGTAATACAGTGTTGTCTCTAATCACTCTGCTGTGTGTTAGATCTCCAGGACTTATTTATCTTCTAGTGCTAAGTGTGTCCCCTTGGACACCATCTCTCCTACTCTCCCACCCCAGGCCCTGGTAACCATTAGTCTACTCTCTGTTTTTATGAGATTTAAAATTCCATATATAAGTGAGATCATACAGTATTTGTCTGACTTCCCTCACTTAGCATAATGCCCTCAACTTTCATCCATGTTTTTGCAAGTGGCAGGCTCCCCTCCTTGCTCGTGGCTGAGTAGCATTCACTGTATACACATAACACGCTGCTGCGGGAGTAAGGGGAGCCTTGGGCACTGTTGGTGGGAGTGTAAACTGGTGTAGCCACTATGCAAAATAGAATGGCGGTGCCTTAAACAATTGAAAACAGAATTACCCTATGAGCCAGCAATTCCACCTCTGGGTATTTATCCAAAGGAAATGAAAACAGGATATCGAAGAGATATCTGCATCCCCATGTTCATTGCAGCATTATTCACAACAGCCAAGATATAAAAACAACTTAAGTGTCCATCGATGGATGAATGGATAACAACTGGTGTATATATACCAGGGATCTTGTTTAAATGCAAATTCTGATTCATGGGGTTCCTTTGGGGGCCAAGACTCTGCATTTCTAACAAGCACCGTGCTTTGAGTACAAGGAACACAATGAGCTCCAAGTTCGCTCTAAGTTCAGCGATTCTGTAACTGTTCACTTTTCAGTGCAGTTTCCCCCTGACGGTGCCCACAATCCTGAGAGCATCAACTCTCGCTGGAAGACAATGATGTTATGAAGACCTATGGTTCTGGATCTCTGTAGTATACTTTGGATTTGAGGGTTTAATATTGTTGGCATCCCATCTCTTAGCCCTGTCCCCCCCCCAACTCCACCCCCCCCTCAAGTCCTGATGCATGTGGATCGACAGAAGAAAAATAGGAATGTCAGTGACCACCAGTGTGGTTTGAAGCTTGTGTGTCACCTACTTGGGATGCCAGGCTGCCCCCTGGAGCAGGGCTGGCTGTATTGATGCAAAGCCCTTCACTCCAGGGGAACCCTAAGGAACTTGAGAATCCCCCCTTCTCTCCCTCCCCATCCCCTTTGCCTCTGCAATTGGCAGCATCTAAAATCCCAGCAGTAGCCTCATTTCACTGGGTCTTGATAGCTTTGGGGACCCTAAGGAGCTTCTGTTAAAATGAAAATTTCTCATCGAGAAAAGATTCTTTAATATTTGCCGGAGCTTGCTTTATTGGATTCCGTCCCCAGAATTCCAGAGAGCCCTTGCTCTCACAGACGGTGAAGCTAAAACCTGTGGCCCAAAGCACACTGTGGACCCAGCACTGAGCCCAGCTTGCTGGCCAGCCTGTGGTTCTGATTCTTGGGGTCAGGCCACATCACCTCCCTAAACCTCAGACTCTTCATCTAGAAAATGCGGACCTCTTGTCTACTTTCGGAGGTGTTGTGGGGATTAAATGAGGTAATAAATGTGAAGAGATTGGCCCAGGGCAGGGACACTCATGGCCACTAATGGAATGTGGAAAAATGCTGAACACAGTGGCTAGTCTCTGCATGGCCCACTCCTCATCTCCCCACACAGGGCACCTCTCCATCATATTTAACATCACCATTTCCAAAAGGAACCCCAAGAGGGCAATACTTAACCCTGAAGGGAAGCTGATTAAGTGGTGAGCTTTTAGGCAGTCTGGAGTAGGCAATTCTTTTTGCTTTTTAACAGTTTTATCGACATATATTTCACATACCATAACATTCACCCATTTAAAGTACACAGTTCAGTGGTTTTTGCTATATTTACAGAGCTGTGCAACTATCACCATAATCTAATTTTAGAACACTTTCAACACCCCCCAAGGAAACCGGCACACATCAGCAGTCCTGTGGAGGCGGCAAAGCCTGAAGCTGCTCGAAGAGTGGTTTTGTAGGCAGCCTGGCAGATCATTTGGATTGTCTTGGGGGATTCCGCTCAGATCACACCTCCAAACAACTGCCTATTTCTCAGCCATTAGAGAGCGGTCCCCAGGGCACAGTGTGTTCCACTCACCAGTCCTTAGGTCCAAGAGATACTGCATTTTTATTTTCTATAGAGAGTGGGGCAGTGGCTGCCTGAATGTTTTGGAAAGTAGAGGGTGTGTGTGTGTGTGTGTGTGTGTGTGTGTGTGTGTGTGTGTGAGGCAACTATGTCCAAAGGGAATGGTGAGAGATGAGGTGAAGGTGGGGGAGGGAAGGGCTGTGTCCCTGTACTTACCAGCTCTGCACCTCATTCCAGCCAAGGGAGCCTTTTAAAATGTGAACTGGGCGCTGGCCAGTGTGGCTCTGTTGGTTGAGTGTCGTTCCATGCACCCAGAGGTTGCCTGTTCGATTCCTGGTCAGGGCACATGCCCAGGTTGTGGGCTCAATCCCCAGTAGGGGGCGTGCAGGAGGCAGCCGATAGAAGTTTCTCTCTCACATCGATGACTCTCTCTCCTTCTCCCTCTCCCTTCCTCTCTCTCTAAATCAATAAAACATTTTAAAAACATGAACTGGATGTGTCATTCTCCTGCTCATCCCGGTTGGGTTCCCACTCGCTCTCTTCCTTCCAGCCTCACTGGCTGCTTTTCTGTTCCATTTCAGAGCTTCCACTAGGCAAGCAAAAAAAGGTACATCCTCTTGGTGGACAAATTATAGAAAGGATTTTTTTTTTAAAAAAAACATGTCTTTACTGATTTCAGAGAGAGGAAGGGAGAAGGAGAGAGAGCGAGAAACATCAATGATGAGAGAGTTATTGATGGGCTCCCTCCTGCACACCCACTACTGGGGATCAAGCCCAAAACCCAGGCATGTGCCCCAACTGGGAATCGAACTGAGATCTTCTGGATCCTAGATTGATGCTCAACCGCTGAGCCACATCAGCTGGCCGGGCTAGAAAGGATTTTGTTCCCTCAGCCTGACACCTTTACACAGTGCACAACCTATACCACTGAACATGGCTTTTCTGACTGAAACATCTCAAGCATCAGACAGACAAGATTTTCACACCTGGGAGGACTGGAAAGAGCGTGGGCTCTGATGGCAGAGAGGGTGGGAAGCCAACTCCACCACTTGCCAGCTGTGTGATCCAGGGAGAGTGATTCAATCTAAAAGGACTGGATACTTCCCACTTTGGGGGATGGGAGTGCTGTGGGATTAAATAAAATTATTCATGTGTTGAATAATTGATCAATGACCCTCCCTTCCCCTGTGTGGTCCCAGAGCCTCTACTCCATTTGACAGAGAATTGATGATGTTAGCAGAAATGTGTACATTTTTCTTTAAAATACCTTTTATCAGCTTTTCATCACTACAAATGTTTTTCTCTATTTTTATTATCACTAGCCTAGATGAAGTCTGAACAACAAATTCCTAATTTGAGCCCACCCTCTTCTACTCTTGCCCCTCCAATGCTTTCACAAGTCACAACAAAACATTTTAAAAGCTAAACCTGGTCATGTCACCCCATATCCCACTGACTGCTTCAAACTCTCCCTCACCCTTCTGGTCTAAGACCAAAGGTCAACAGCTCAGAGAGGCCTTCCAGAAATGCTCAAGCAATTTGAAGTAAAATGCTATTAGGAACCATCTAATGGCCTGAGATAGCCACACCTGATGTTCCATGGCAGGAACTGTCCCAAAGCCCAGGAGGAAACTCAGTAAGAGTCCAGGGACAGTCTGGACTGGTGATCTGGCTTCTACACCAGCCTGGAAAGTCATAGGGAAGTGCTGATTGCAGCTGAGAATGCGATTGACTGAAAACTCCAATGGCCTGTGTCCCCTGGCCCAGTTCTTCTTTGGTCCCAATGGCTGGGCAGGAGAGAAGAGCACAGATTAAGGGAACCATCATCCTTGGGCCCAAGTGTGGGGCAGGGAAAACAGGCCGTGCAGGATAGCTGTTCAACAGCGACACTAGGTGGCAGGGGTAGGAACAACAGCCCAGCGGACCCATCCACTGCAAACTCTCACATTAAGAGTTTGGACTCTTGGCCAGTGTGGAATGAGGGGTGTCCTCAGAGAAGAACAATGACACTTTTTGTTAACAGAGGCATGTGCGGCCTCAAGACAATAATTAGAGAAATAAAGAGGTGACTGTATCTGATGCTGCAGGCCATGCTGGATACAGCCAATGAATGAATGAAAGAATGAATGGACATAAAACAAGAAACAATATCATCACACAGAATTCCACATTTAAAAAACCCAGGTGTTTTTCTTTTTTTTGTGAAGCACAGAGAGACATATTGTGGTTACAACTGAAATGCAATTCCTGGAGGAAATGTCTGTGCAGGCCTCGCCTTTGAAAGAAGCTCATAATCCCTAAAACATACACCACACACTTTCCCAAGGAACAAGGCTCCCCATGTTTAGGTCATTTCTGAACCTGAGCTCAGAGAAGTTAGCAAGGGTCTCTGGGTCAAGAGCTAGCGGGGAACTCCTGGAGAATGGTGGCATCTGCCCCACGGGCCTGTCAGGAACAGGTGTTGACAACTTCTCAGCTCCTGGTGTGGTGATAGTCCCCAGCACCCACGGTGACTTCAGCTGTAGTCAACATCTGCTCCAAACAGCAGAAAATTCTAGGAAGAGATGGGAACGCTGTCATCATCTCGAAGCCCACCCCTTGTTGTGAGGTTGGGGCTGCTGGGTTGTTAGAAGAAAACTTTGGGAGAGAGCAGAGTGGGACCTGTCTGCTGACAGCAAGGCGGAGTGAGTGGGGGCACTCCGGGTCTCGCCTCTGGGGTCTACACATTATGACGTCTGAGGACCAGTCAGCAGCTTCCCTGGCAGCTGCTTCCTTCTCAGACGGGGAGACCCCCAGGCAGCTCTGGAGGCCTTCATTTGTCATCCTGGCCTCACGGCAGCTCAAAGGAGCCCTTATTCCAGTCAGGGCTGCAAAACCACTTCTCTTTGTGCCCTTCAGAATTTTCATAGGTGATGAAATTAAATTGTGCTGTGGAGTCTCTTTTTTTAAAGGATAAACTTGGTACAAGGTAGACAACATAGGAGATGTGTTCCCTCTGTTCTCTCATCTATTTTTCCATTAGCCCCATTAGTTTCCTAGCTAAATAATTGGGGGTTGATTAGACAATGGGAGTGAGGGAGAGAGGAATCTGGGTGATGGGGGATCTCCCATGAAAGTCATCGGCCAAGGTAAGGAGTGTAACAGGAGGTGATGGTTTGTTGCAGAATGACCAGCTTCGCTGGGACACGCTGGGGCCTCAGGGTGGCACGAAGGTGGCTGCCAAGCCTGAGTTGATGGAAGTGATCAGGGAGAGCCCACAGTGGGGGAAGGCAGAGGCCTGGGCAGGGCTCCTGGGAAGGAAGGGGAAGCAGGTAGCAGCAAAAGAACTGTAAAGGCCCCAGTGAGAGGTGGCTGGAGAACAGGGAGGGGGGTCTTCGAAGCTAAGAGAAGAATGCTCCCAAGGACGGGGTAAAGAGTGTCCGGTGCTGGTGGGGGCCAGGCTGGGAGAAAGGCAAGCAGAGGCGGCCCATCTGGTATCTCAATTCACCAGACACTGACCAGGCTTCATACCCCACGGGCCTAGAGTGACCGATGCCAAGGCAGGCATGCAACACACGTCTCAATAATTAAATCAGCCAGCTCACAGAAGAGGCTCTGCACTGAGTGAGGTCCACTTTTACTAAGTGTCAGGTGTGAATGATGCAGCCAGCGGTTAAAAGCAGGGCCCTGGCCCTGGCCGGTGTGGCTCAGTTGGTTCAAAAGGTCACTGGTTCGATTCCCGGTTAGGGCACATGCCCAGGCTGAGGGTTCGATCCCTAGTCGGGGTGTGTATGGGAGGCAACCTATCCATGTTTCTCTTCCACATTGATGTTTCTCTCTTTCTCTATCTCCCTTCTCTCTCTAAAAAAAAAAAAAAAAAAAAAAAAAAAAAAAAAA